GCTAGGGCTAAAGATAGTTTTTACAAAATTCTCAAAATTCTTCAGAGGAGGTAGTTCAATCTTCTTAAAAATATTGTGGTCACCAATTTCTTTCTGATATATAATCTAAACCTATTAAATTAAAATTAAAACCCCTAGTTTCCTTACATATAAATGATGAAAATTTGCTCATCCATACAGTTTCCTTGCATAATTCAGGGGAACTATAGAAAATGCTGAGTATAACTCTGCAGGGACATGGTGACATGTGGGTAAGTTCAGGGTCATTCCTGGGAAGAACTTTTAAGCTGGTGAAAAATTTTTATGCTTCAAAGAACTTCTCCATTGTTGATAAACCTGTCAAGTGTTGATATATAGCTAACACAAAAGGCTCAGGTAAAGATTAAGAATTTATGGATGTCTGTAATACTGCCGACAAGAAATACATTAAACAAAAAGATTAAGCACATATGGATTATCCATGCCCTTTAACTTATCTCTTTCTTTCCCTTTGGCTGGTAGTCCCATATAATTGCTCTGCTTATTTGCAATTAAAACCTATCCATATTGCTATTTGTTATATGATATGGTTAAAAATATTTGTCAGACCCAGCTGTTGTGCTCAGTGGTTGAGTTTCGATCTATGAATCAGGAGGTCACGGCTCAATTCTCAGACAGGGCACATGCTTGAGTTGTGGGCTCAATCCTCAGCTGGGGACATGCAGGAGGCAGCCAATCAATGATCAATGATTCTCGCTCATCACTGCTGACTCCATCTCTCTCTCTTTCTTTTCCTTCCTCTCTCTGAAATCAATTAAAAAAAGTTTGTATGTAGTTTAAACAGAATTTCCCATATGGAGTGGTGTTTAAAACTGCTCACATGTCTTACATGCAGGTATAAAACTGGCTGTATCCTAGAGATAACTGAGATTATATGGTATTTGTCTTTTTTTCACTGGCTTATTTCACTTAACACAATACTCTCCAGGTCCATCCATGCTGTCCCATAAAGTAAGATTTCCTTTTTTTTATTTACAGTCAAGTAGTATTCCATTGTGTAAATGTATCACTACTTTTTTCTATCCACTCATCTACTGATGGGCACTTGGGCTGCTTCCAGATCTTGGCTATTATAAATAATGCTGCAATGAACATAGGGAAGCATATATTCTTTTGAATTAGTATTTTGGTTTCTTTGGATATATTTTCAGAAGTGGGATTGCTGAGTCAAAAGGCATTCCCATTTTAAAATTTTTATTTATTTATTTATTTTATTGAGGAAATTCCATACTGTTTTCCACAGTGGCTGCACTAATCTGCATTCCCACCAATGGTACATGAAGGTTCCCCTTTCTCTGCATCCTCACCAGCACTTATTGTTTGTTGATTTATTGATTATGACCATTCTGACAGATGGGAGGCAATATCTCATGTGGCTTTAATTTACATCTCTCTGATGATTAGTGACATTGATCATTTTTTCATGTCTATTGGCCATCTGTATGTCCTCTTTGGAGAAATGTCTATTCAGTTCCTTTGCCCATTTTTTAATTGGGGTTTGTTTTCTGGTGTTGAGTAGTATAAGTGCTTTATATATTTTGGAAATTAACCCCTTATCAGATGTATCATTGGTGGATATGTTCTTCTACCCAGTGGATTGTCTTTTCATCTTGTTGATGTTTTTTTTTCCCTTTGTAAAAACTTTTTAGGTTGATGTATCTCCATTTGATTATTATTATTTTTTTCTTTTGCTTCTCTTGTCCAAGAAGATATGTTAAAAAAATATTACTTAGAGCAATGTCTGAGATTTTATTGCCTATGGTTTCTTCTAGGACTTTTATGGTATTGAGACATATATTTAAGTTGTTAATCCATATTGAGTTTATTCTTTTTTAAAAAAAATATATTTTATTGATTTTGTACAGAGAGGAAGGGTGATACAGAGTTGAGAGATACAGAGTTAGACATCGATGAGAGAGAGTCATCGATCAGCTGCCTCCTGCACACCCCCCACTGGGGATATGCTCACAACCAAGGTACATGCCCTTGACCGGAATCGAACCCGGGACCTTTCAGTCCCCAAGCCGATGCTCTATCCATTGAGCCAAACTGGTCTTGGCATTGAGTTTATTCTTGTGTATAGTTTAATTTGAACAAAATAGAAACAGATACATGGATAAATGGAACAGACTGATAGCTGTAGAAGGGGAGGGGTGTGGAAGGCTGGATGAAATCAAGTAAAGAGATTAAGTTAATATATATATATATTACCAAAAATGTATACATACACTTTTAATTATTATAAAGGCAGTGTTTATTAAAATATATTTCATTTTAAAAATTGAGCTATCAGCCGAAACCGGTTTGGCTCAGTGGATAGAGCGTCTGCGGACTGAAAGGTCTCAGGTTCGATTCCGGTCAAGGGCATGTACCTTGGTTGCAGGCACATCCCCAGTGAGGGTGGTGCAAGAGGCAGCTGACTGATGATTCTCTTTTATCGATGTTTCTGTCTATCCCTCTCTCTTCTTCTCCGTAAAAAAAAATCAATAAAATAATAAAAATTGAGCTATCAGCTGTTAGAGTGTGTATACATTTTTTGGCAACACCCTGTATTTACTACCTGACCATTAACAGTAAAAGTTAGGTGAATAAATGCAGTAAGGTCAAGAAACGTAATTAAAAAGGTGTTAACTGGAATTGATATTAGATTTCCAGTGACCTTGATAATGGCTTTATTTGGAGTGGTGTAAGTAGAAACTAGATTTTGGTGGCAGGCTGATCAAAGTTTGATTCCTGAGTATTCAGCTTGCTAGCTGTGTGGTCTTGGGAAATCATTTAACTTCTGTGAGCTTCTATTTGGTGATTTGTAAATTGGAGATAAACAGAGCTACCTTCTTGAGTTACTGTAAAGATGAGCAATAATGCATGTAATTCATAAAACTAAGTATCTGGTTTATAGAAAGTGCTCAATAAATTCTAGCTCTTGCTTCATTTAATCTACTGCCACCAAAATTGCTATTTCTTTATTGGTAATGCCTTTTCACTTTTCATATTTTACTTGTCTTCTGTGTTCTCATGTTTTACAATGTATGCTCAAATCTGACCTCTTTAGTGAGGGCATTTGAGTTAATATTAGCCATCCTCTTTAATATTGCAATCTGTCCCCCAATCCCAGCACTCCTAACTCTTTTACCCTGTTCTATTTTTCCTTTTTTCAAAGAACTTATTATTTCTGGCAAACACATAAAATATAGCAAGAACTAATCTCAAATTTTTAATGAAGATCTCATTCAAATTCACGTGAAACAAAGCTATACACAGAAAATTTACATCAGAGAATATACAGATAGTTATGGATACAATAAAAGACATTAAATCTTGATAGTAAACAAAAAAACTAGAAGTAAAAAAACCTTGAGGTAACTTTGTACTAAGGAATTTAGAAGGGGAAAGATGGTATAATTTGGTGTTAGTTTGTATATTTGGATGGCATTGTAAATTTGTAGACTTTGGAAAGCAATATCCTTAATAGCCACTAAAATTTTTATATCTTTTAGCTCAAGATTTTCAATATAGAAAAATTATCCAAAGAAAATATTTCAACAAATGTGAAAGACAACACACAAAGATACTCTACAATATTATTTTTATAACAAAGCCTAGAAACTTTGTATTGTCCATTTGAAGGGCAATTTGGTTAAGGCATCCATAGGGATGGAATTCCATGTTACCACTAAATGTTAAAATGATGAAGATTATGAAGCATCTGTGGACACAAAAGGGGCCACATACTAAACCTGAGCTCAGTGGAGGCTTGAATGGAAGGCCTTACAAACTCAAGAGACCTACAGTAACCATACAGGATGGTCTGAAACTAAAATTTCCTAACTGAAAGCGAGTCATGGCAGTGGGTCATATCCTAGGCTGGTATCTTCCTTGACAAAAATCAGTCTTTACCTTAACTTAGCCTGCCTATTGTATTTTAGTAATAAGGTCTGTGAAAAAATAGCAGGGTAATTTCCTTTTCCAGAACCCAAGGGCACACTCCCAACTAGAGCAGATCATAGAACTCCTTATTATTGTTATCATGTTAATTGTTAACTATCCTGTACCACCAATGTAAAACAAGTATGTGTTTATTCGTTTTATCTTTAATCCAGTCCCAGACATATTCCCGTTTTGCTTTCTCCTGCCTCCCTAATCTATTACTAGTGGATTTCATTTAACCCTCTTAGTTCTTCTCTGATTCTAATATATAAAATAAGGTGCAAAACTTTCATTCTCTGGAGCATTTCTCAAACCGTTGAGATTTTGCCTCCCGGCAATTGTCATCAATTTGGCTCAAATAAACTATAAATATTCTTACAGGTTGAGACAGCATAAACACATGTTTATGCCATGCTATTTGAAAAATACAATTTAAAATTGAATGCATATAATGAACATCACTGAACAAATATACACGACCTTATTAAGTCTTCAAACTGTCTTTTAGATGATTTAGCTCCACAATTACTGAAAAAACAAAAACGTAACTAACGTCTCCATGTTCATACTTTCAATAAGCAATAGACCTCAATCGTGTTGCAGCACCCACCTACCATCTTTCTACTTGCAAATGACCCAATCAATCATCTTTTTGTGCTAACATGCTTGCTCTTCCCACCACACCCGGCTTCATATATTCAAAGAATTGGCAGCACTACGTAAAAAAGGAATTATGATAGCTCCTGAGAGCTTGTGGGATCACAGGTTTGTCTTTCTCACCTTTCAAACTTGTATTTCAAACTGGTATACCTATTTCACCATGTCCAAAATTGAAAATGCAATAAAGTCAAAGGTTCGATTCCCTCTCTCTTGGCCCAGAAATCCTGGGAAACTCCAGATTCGGAGAAGGGCCACAATCCGGCCACCAGGAGAGGAGGCTGGTGTCGCAAAAGCACGCAAGCCCCGCCCGCCGCGCTGCTTTACGATATCCGCCCCGCCCCCTCCGGGCGCCGCGGAAGCTGAAGCCGGCAAACATGGCCGTCACCTCCTATTCTAGCCGGCGGGGCGTGGCTGTCCTGGCAGGGTTGCTGCTCTTGTCCCTCGGCAGCGTGGCCACTAGTCAGTTCGAGGTAGGAGTCAGGGCCCCCCGAGCGACCGGGCCCTGGGAAGACAGCGTTGTCGGCGCCCTGAGCGCCCCGCCGATGCCCGATACAGCGAAGCCGCGGGAAGCCTCCCGGAGTCCCTTCGCCTCTTACGGGGCTGCCGCCGGGGATGTGGGGAGGGTGTCTCCGGGCACGGGGCAGGACACTCGCAGTCTGTTTCAGCCTTAAAAAAAAAAAAAAAAAAAAAAAAAAAAAAAAAAAAAAAAAAAAAAAAAAAAAAAAAAGACGAGTGAAAAGAACCAAATTCCGGGAGAGGGGCGAGGGCGCCCTGGCGCCCAGGGTGCATGCCCTGCCGCTGACAGGCGAGCTCCGAGCGCAGCCCTTCCTGCTGTTACACTGGGCGCCGCTGGGACGGAGGCGGATGGGTACGGTGTTTTGGTTTGGACTCGCAGGACGTTTGGCCTCTTATAAAGCTTTCCCTGCCCCCTGCACTCTGAGAAGGAACACATGAGTTTTTTAGGTCTGAAGTCTAGATCTCTAGCATCATTTCCAGGCCTGCGTTTCAGGCTAGTGAAGGGGCCCGAGTAGTAGGCATTTGTCTTCCCTCTGCTACCATTTCCTAAGCCTCGCAGTGTTTCCCAAACTTTTGACTTCTGTGCACCCCTTCTATAATTTTCGTAACGCTGAGAGTACCCCTCGTACTCATGAGAATGTAGAATTAGGCGCAGCTAAGCACGGTGCAGTGCATATCCCCACCAAACTCCGGTGCAATGCGTACCCCCACCAATCTCTTCCCGCACCCCTGGGGGTATGTGTACTACACTTTGGGAAACACTGGATTGCTCCTAGGCTGGGAGCCTGGGGCTTTTAAGAAAATAAAAATAAACACCTCCCTTGATCCCACTTTTTAATCAAAACTAAGTTCTGTGTGCTGAACTTTTAAAATTGCTTTTACCTGTTTAGTTCCACTGGCTTAATGCAATCCTGGTAATTTCCTGCCTAGACTAGGGCAATTACTGCAATTGCTTTATCTTGTTTCCCCCCAAGGCTTCCAAACTCCCCTCACTTAGTTACTAGATTAGTCTTCATAAAACGTAAACCTGATCAGGTTATTCTTCCGACTGAATCTTTCCCAGTGTATGCAGAATAAAGTTAACATCATGCTCTGGCCTCTGTCTACTTTTCCAGCTTTCATATTGGAACCCATTCTGCCCACCACCTCAGTACATTCTATTTAGATCAGTGGACTCCAAACGTTAAAAGGATATTGAGCATGCACTTCCTCTCTTTCCCTCCTCTCTCTCTCTCTCTCTCTCTCTCCCTCTTCCTCTCTCTCTCATGAACTACTGCTAATTTATATATTCAACATTTATAAAGCATATTTTTGAGGTAATATGACTAGGAGTTCTACTTTCCTCCTTTATTCTACTGGATTATCTTGTACACTTCATTTTGGATGCCATTACTTTTTTTTTTTTTTTCCTTTTGATTGTTACTGTGCTTTTTCACATTTCCATGCTTTATACCTCCTGTTTCTTCTGTCCCTTTAGTAAGATGCAGTAAATGCATAACCTCTGTAGAACCTTCCCCTATCCCTTTTCTGTGATATTACCATTGAAATTTGTACATTAACCTTGCGTAGCATTCATCGATTATAACTCATGTAAGCTTTGTTTTATCTATTATTTCATCATTTTTCACTTGGAGTGCAATGGCTCCCTTACTAGTCCACATCAGTGGTCGGCTCATTAGTCAACAGAGCCAAATATAAACAGTACTACGATAGAAATTTCTTTTGAGAGCCAAATTTTTAAAACTTAAACTTCTTCTAATGCCACTTCTTCAAAATACTCGCCCAGGCCGTGGTGTTTGGAAGAGCCACATTCAAGGGGCCAAAGAGCTGCATGTGACTCGCGAGCTGCAGTTTGCCGACCACTGGTCCACATCAAGTCATTCTCTTTCTTCCCTTCCTTTCAGTCTATTCTCCAGGCTACAGCCAGAATAACTTTTAAAAATGCAAATCTGATCATGTGGTCCATGTAAACCTTAATATTGCTCTAAGGATAAAGGACAAAACCTCTATTATGACTCCATATACAAAGCCCTGCATACTTTGGCCCCTACCCGAACCCCCAGTTCTCTCTCTCAAACTTTTAGTTATGCTCATCTTTTTTTCAGTTTCTTAACACCTTTAAGCCCCACCTGCCATTAGGGCCCGTATTTCCTTTGTCTGGAACTGTCTTTCCTCTTTCATCTTTTGGATTCTAACTCAAATGTCACTTCTCTAGGGAAACCTTCCCTAAACCTCTCTACATGATACCCCCCAGATTAGGTCATTCCCTCTCATACTCTGTCATGATACTGTGTATCTTACCTTGATATAATTGATAGGTTGTCATCTGCTTGTCTAGCAAATTGGATAGTTACCTCTTTGGAGGCAAGTACTCTGATAGTTTTTGCCCAACTTTGTATTCTGAGCACTCAGGACAGTGACTGGTACATGGCGCACCATGAAGTGATGAGTGAGTGAATGAATGAATGAATGAATTACATTGTAATGTAATGTGTAGCTTGTCTTCTGTATTGAACTCAGGTTCTTGAGAGAAAGCATGCTCTTCAATGATTTTTATATCACTTTATATTACATGGTATCTGGCACATAACTGGTGCTCCACCAATTATAAGTAGAATGAGTGAGTAACTTTGCAGTGCCTATATTGTCTAAAAAAAAATCACAAAAGAGTTTTGCTACCTCAACTTTTTCCCTAAAGTCTTAATGATCTAAGAATTTTGGAACTGGAAAGGACATCCATCTCTCATTTTCTGCTTGAGGAAAATAAAGAGCTGAGTGACTTACCCCAGCCTCACAAGGATAGGATCTGGGCTAAAACTCAGATTTTCAAATCCCTAAACCAGTGCTTTATGCACTATGGCACATTGCTTTTTTAAAACATCTAGGTAGCTGTTGAGAATGATTAAAAATAAATGTGTGTGTGTGTGTGTGTGTGTGTGTGTGTGTGTGTATGTCTGTATATGCATACACACATTTGAGTGATTTTTAAAAAATTTTCATTCCCCCTGAAATTTTCTTGCCAGTTGAAAATTAAAACAACTAACATAAGTTATATAATTACTAGGTTCCAGTCACCAATCCTATTATATTCTGTGAGTCAGGTAACATCATTTTATAGAAGGAGAAATGGCGATGCAGAGAAGTTAAACAGCTTTCCTAAGTTTATACAACTAATAAGTAATAGGACCCAGACTTGGATCCAGGCAGTTTAACTGTTCTAGTAATACTGCTTGAGAGCACATCTGAGGTCATTATGGTTTATATTCATTGTTCTTTTAATATATAATAAAAATCATGTTCATTAGGTATCTGGATGCTGAGGATTTTAATGTTGCTTGCCAGCAAATACAATACAGATTCACTTTAACAGGTTAGTGAAGTGATCCATGACAGCATGCCAGAGAATGTGCTCAATCAAATATATCGGTAAGTTCAAATGAAGTAATTGGAAGCACCCAGCACAGAGTACGGATGAATATTGAATGAAATTTCAATGGGAAGGTTATTTGTTATGTTTAGAATCAAGATATGAAATAAGTCATTCACAATTGGAAAACTGAATGGAAAACTGGAAGCATATAAGGAAGAAATGACTGGACTAGAAATAAACAGTCCCTCCATAAAATAATGCCCCCTAACAGAAAAATAAAACTCTATCGGTCCTTCCTAGGGTCAAAAACTAGCGTCTTTATTAACTTACGTAATGATGACTTACTGTTATTATAGCTGTAAAAACACCATGGATCTTGAATGTCCTTTACCAGTCTTTACTCCGGGAAATGTGGCTTTCTTCTAATCTTTTTGCTATTGTTTGACTGCTAGGAACAAGCAGAGCAGTTCTTTAGGAGTGGCCACACAAACAACTGGGCTGTTTTGGTAAGTAAATTCTATGAAGGTATACCATGCTATTCACTTAGATATGTGTCTAAGAAATTTTGTGTGAATCAAAATTTTGAAAATAAAATTTATTATATCATATTACAAATTGTTTCAGACAGATATTATACTATTTCTGCTCAAGTTAGGGAATCTGTAGATTCTTTGATACTGATGGGTGGTGACTCTGTTTCTAGCTTTTTGGTTTTGGCTAATACAGGTAGTGTGATAGTGAAAATCCTTGAATACATATTTTTGCATACTGATAGGAGCTAACTCAAAAGATAAGTACATTTTCAAACTTGATGTATATTGCATATTACCTTTTAGAAGTTTTATTTTAGTTTATGTTCCCATCAGTAGAATATGAGTATTCATTTTCCTGCACTTTTGCCAATTCTGTGAATTGCCAGACTTTTGGATACCTATCACTTTGATTTGTGCTTTTTAAATTATGATAGAAGTTGAGCATCTTTGAGAGTTTTATTGTCCATTTTTAATACTCTTGCTCTCATCCTTTGCCTACCTTTCAAAATCGGGTTATTGTGTTATGATTGTTTCAAGTTTTTCATTTAAGTTAGGATTTTATGCTATTTTTCACATATGAAGTTTTATTTTTTTACATAGTAAAAATTTTTAGTTTTTTTCTTATTGGATTCTAAATTGAACATTTATTTTAATAAAAAAAAAAACTTGTAGTTCCTCTCTGTTTGCAGGGCAAGAACATTTATGCTATTCTTAAACCTATCGTACTTACACACTATTAGCAGAGGCATGTGGTAGGAGGTAGGAGGGTGCTTGATGGGTAGGTATATTAATACTTGACCCCAAATTCTGTTACTTCTTTTGGAATGGATTCTCAAGAGGGCCGACTTTTGAGATAATGGCATTACGTTTTTCTAGTTCTTTTGATATCATTTTTAGGAATCTTTTTTTTTTTTTAAATGCCATTCTACAAAGCATTCTACAAGGAGTTTTTAAGTGTAAAACTAGTTTGCATTGTTTCTAGTTTTCTGTTCAGTTTAACAGCTTTATAGCAAACACATTATGTACATATAAAACTGTTTTGTATGTTATGTCTATTTTATAATTGTCACAACTAAAATTAGGAAGAAATTTAGAGTAAAAGAAATCTTATATAACCCAATTCTGTGACGGGATTATGCACACTCTCTTTGATTTTAAAGAATTGAATCTTTTAGAAACAGGAACTTTCTAGAGTCACAGAAATTGAGGGTGACTAAGTTGGTTCACTATTTGATTGAATTCCCCAAAGATTTCTTTTCTCTTAAGCCGAGTGGCCTTTTTACTTAATGCTAGTTATAAAAGACCTCTCTCTCTCTCCCTCTCTCTCCCTCCCTCTTTCTTTCTCTCTTGATTGGTTTTATTGACAATTCTTTCTGTGCTTTGCTGTTCTTAAGCCTGAATTATGATATACTCTTTTTTTCCCCCCTTCTTTTTTTTTTTTTTTTAAATGTATTGGTTAGTATTTACTGCATAGCAAACCACCTTACGACTCAATAGCTTAGAACAACACTGTGTAATTCATTGATCATCGATATACTCTTTATTTAGGCATCTTTTTATCCTACCTACAGAGAAATAATTCTGTACCTTTGTGGTTTATTTTGATTCATAAAAATAACATATTGGTTTTAATACTTTAGGTGTGTACATCCCGTTTCTGGTTTAATTATCGACATGTTGCAAATACGCTTTCTGTGTATAGGAGTGTGAAGAGGCTAGGCATTCCTGACAGGTAAGAATTCATAATAAAGAGTAACTTTCACTTCAGTGAAAATCACTCTTAGATGATTATTATTACATTTGCATTTTGTGTTGTTTTTAAAAAAGATAAGGAAGCTAAGTTTTATTATTATTATTATTATTATTAATTATTATTGTTAGAACATACAACTATGTGTAATTTACTTAAGACCATAATGGCAAATTATGTAAAACATCAATCAATACTAAGGTAAAAGTTTTGATAAAGTACAATTTTTTTAGTGTCATTTATTTAATCATTAAATGCATCAGTGTGGGGTTTTGACTGTAGACAACAAAAGACAATTCTGACTGGTTGAAGTAGAAAAGGAATTTACGGAGAGCATATTGATTAGTATGCTTCCCAAATTGATGGGAAGGCTGTAAATAGTCAGAAACAGGGAAGACTAGGTAGCAGAGAAGACATTTCTAAAAACAGACATAAAACCATTCCCGTGATAACAGTGCAGCCGTAAGTTGCTAAAGTCTAGACTTAGCTACTGCATAGCTACTACCATTGCCTTGGAAACTTAATGTTGGTACTGCTACCTGCTGCCAAAATCCAAACTTTGTTGTCCCGGCTTCTTAGTCTCTAGCTCTTAATTTAGAGCCCTTGGAAGGATGTGATCTTGTCAGCTTAGATGAAGCGCCCTGGTTAGTGCTCCCTGGGGGTGGGTGGAGCACGAAAAACTACAGATGGCCAATAGGTCCATAAGAAGGTGCTCAATATTATTAACCATCAGGGAAATGCAAATGAAAACCATAAATGGATATCACTTCCCACTTGTTAGAATGGCTGTTATTAAAAAAGACATGATAACAAGTATTGGCAAGTATGTGGAAAAAAGGAAACCCTTGTGCATGTTGGTGAGAATGTAAATTGGTACAGCCACTATGGAAAACAGTATGGAGGTGCCTCAAAAAATTAAGAATAGTACTATTGAATCACCCAGCAATTTTGCTTTTGGGTATTTACCTGAAGGAATTGAAAACACTAACTTAAAAAGATATATCTATTATACTATCATGTTTATTGCAGTATTATTTACAATAGCCAAGACTTGGAAATAAAAGATGGTACTGTATGATTACACTTATAAATGGAATCTAAAAAAAAAAAGCTAAACTCAAAGATTGAGAGAACAGATATTGGTGGTTGCCAGAGGTGGGATGAGTGAAATGGGTGAAGGTGATTTATAGGTATAAACTTCCAGTTATATGATTAATAAACCCTAGGGATGTAATGCATAGCATGGAGACAAAAAAACCCAAAACAAAACAAAAAAACAAACAACAACAAAAAAACACTCTAGAGTCAGATTGCATTAGTTTAGATATTGATTCTGTTATTAAGTTAGACCAGACCACAAAGTCTAGTCTAACTTCAGAAATGGGCAGGAATTATGGGTTGACTTATGTTGCTGTTGCTTCTTATTGCTACCAAATCAAAGAAGCAATGCAAAAGATATATGAGAGAAGGATATGAATAAGTGGCTACAGCTCCCCTCTATTTCCCTAGTTTCTCACCTTTGTGGCCCTGAGCCTGGAGAGTGAGAAACCATCCAGGTCAGAGGACTCCAGAACAGTCACTGGGAGCATCCCTCAGAGTTCTCCCCACTGAGACGTAAGGCAATTTTTTGCTGTGCCTGTGGTTCGTACTTACATGTTTTACTTCCTGCTATATCATCAGACTTTTAGTAAACCTGAGAAAGAAAGTGCTGTCTTTTAAAAAAAATCTTGGACAAATTATTGACACTCTCTCAGCTTTAGTGCCCTTGTCTGTAAGGGGAAATAATACCTGCATGGGACGAATCTAATTGGTTCATCAGTCCGGTTGGGAGTACAGACTAGATAGGAATAGTATGCTTATTAGTAGGAAAAGGAGAAAGAGCAGATGCTTGCATGAGTCATGTTAATGATAAAACACTGGGATCTGTAACATTCCACAAATTTTTAATGTTGACATATCTAAAACTATTTTTAAGTTCTATCATCTGCTAAAGCCTTATTCTTGACTTCCTGTTAAATTGTGTACCATTCCAATATTTATTTTCCTTCTTTAAACTAGTTTTAGTGATTCCTTGTAATTAAGAGAGCCTGACTAGAATAAGATGTGGGTAAAGGGTTAACAACACTCTGCTTTTACAAAGGAATTTGACTTTTGTGCACTTTGTAACTGTTCCCTTGGGTATGTGGTAAAGGTAATCCATATTAAGTAGAACTTAATTTACCTAAGCTGTCAATTTTTCTCAATTATATGGAAGTAAAGGATAATCAAGTAAGATCTTTTTTTTTTTTTTAAACTGGCATAGATGGCATTTATTTATTTATTTATTTATTTATTTATTGTTAAAGTATTCTGTTGAGAAATCAGTTGGTAGTCTAATGGGAGATTCCTTGTACATAACTTTCTGTCAGCCTTTAAGAATCTTATTTTGTCATTGTTTGCCAATTTGATTATGATGTGTATTGGTGTGGGTCTTTTTGGTTTCATCTTGTTTGGGGCTCTGTGTGCTTTTTGGACTTGTGTGGCCTTTTTCTTCCCAATATCAGGGAAGTTTTCAGTCATTATTTCTTCAAACAGGTTTTCTATTCCTTGCTCAGCTTTCTCTCTTTCTGACATCCCTATTATGAGACGATGTTTCATTTGGTATTGTCCCAAAGCTCCCTTAGATTCTCCTCCTGCTTTTTAAGTTTTTTTTCCAGTTGGTGCTCTGCTTGTGTGTTTTTTTCCTACCATGTCTCTAACTTGCTGATGGGGTCCTCAGCCTCTTCAATCTACTGTTGAAGCCTTCCATTGTGTTCTTTATTGCAGCTATGTATTAGTTGCATAGCTTTATTTCCTCTTGATTCCTTTTCATGTTGGTGACATTCTCATTCATGTATTTTTGCCCCTCCTTTTTTTGCTATAATGTTTTAATTGTTCCTATGTCTTAAATCCAATTTCTTTGCTACCCGGGTTTTTTTTTTTTTTTTTTTTTTTTTGGTGGTGCTATGTAGTTTATGATCTCAGTCGTGCAGTCCTGAGCTTGATGATCTAGTGGAGCCCTCTTCTTGATGTATGTGGGTTCTCCTGATGTAGTTGATTCTTGAATGTTAGTTTCTCGTTTGTGGATGAAATCTTGTCATGGATTGTCTGGCAATGTGACTTACCCCTAGCCTCGTTGTGCAAGCTGTTGTGGATGTGATCATGGTTCTGGCTCTTGTGGTCAGGGTTGCCTGAGGTCTCACTGGTATGTGCTCACTGTGAGATGCCGGAGTCCACAGCCTGGGAGAAAGGGGTCTCCGGGCCTGAGGCTCAAGTATTGTGACTTTGGCCAGTGTTATGTGACTCTTGCTGGGGTAGTGTCACTCTGCAACTCACTGCGAGGGTCTGGAGCTCCTGACAGGTGTCCTATAGTCTGCGGTTGAGACAGTGGGACTCTGGCCAAAGCGATTTCCCTCTGTGAATCATGAGGGGGTCTAGGAGCAAGCAGCTGGGGATATGGAAATCTCAGAGTCTGTGGCATAAATAGTGTGACCTTTTCCGGGGAAGCAAGTCCTCAGTAACTCACTTAGGTGTCCAGGAGCAGGCAGCCGGGAGGAGGAAGTCCGTCTGCTTAGGGAGCCATGTGCCCTTGGTTGGATATGTGTGCCCAGTGGTGGCTCACAGAGGCACCCAGGAGCTGCCTGCCTGAGCGACACAGTGTTTGGAAGTCGATAGCTGGGGTGGTGGAAATCCCAGTTCTTTTTGTGGGATCGTGCTCCCTTGGTTAGGTACATGCGTGCCCAGTGGCAGCTCACAGAGGCACCCAGGAGCTGCCTGGGTGGAGGGATGCGGGGGTTGACATGTGCTGGAGTGGTATCACCACGCTGTCTGGGGGTTGGCAGCCGGGGGAAAGAAGTCTGAGTTTCTGCTGCAGGAGCTGTGCACCCTTGGAGGTGGATGTTCTGGGGTCTGCAGGTCTGTGGGCGAGGCAGCACCACTTTGTCTAGTGTGGCTGCAGGGTCCCAGGTAGTGTCCACGGCTACTCTGGGTGGTGTTGATAATGGGTTTCAAGATGGTGTGGGCTCCGTACCTGAGCCCCGTAGCCTGGGGAGTGCCCGCCTGTCCAGGAGAGCTGGTCTGCCAGCCCCCGATACTCCTATAGGATCTAACTGTTTCACACATACACACACACACACACCCCACGTGTTCACGCACTCCCCTTTCACCCCCTCACTCACACCTTCTACCTCACCTTTGTCCTGCCAGCCGCCATCTTGCCTTGTCCCCAAATATTAGAAGATTATTCTACAACTATATTTTAGGGTTTATTCTAGGCAAATAAAATCTAACTTTATATAATTCTATCTATAATGTTATAATTAATAAAAATAGATATTCAGTTATTCAAATGTTAATTTTGTGTACTGATAAAGATGGTTGTTTAGTACAGTGGTGGGCAAACTCATTAGTCAACAGAACCAAATATCCACAGTACAACAATTGAAATGCTTTTGAGAGCCAAATTTTTTAAACTTAAACTTCTTCTAATGCCACTTCTTCAAAATAGTCTCACCCAGGCCGGGGTATTTTGTGGAAGAGCCACACTCTAGGGGCCAAAGAGCTGCATGTGGCTTGTGAGCCGCAGTTTGCCGACCACTGGTTTAGTAGATTATACTTATTTAAGAAAGTAGTTTAATAGATATTGTCTTTTTTGCATTTCATTAATAATTTAGATGTTTAACTTTTTATTTTATTGATCTTAGAGGGAGGAAGGAAGAGGAAAAGACATACACACACGCACACCACACCAATGTGAAAGAAAAACATTAATCAGTTGTCTTTGCATATGCTCTGACTGAGGATCAAACCTGCAACCTAAGTATGTGCCCTGACTGGTAATCTAACTCACAAACTTTTGATGTTCAGGACCATGATCCAACCAGCTGAGCCGTGGGCTAGATCTGTGGTCGGCAAACTGTGGCTCGCAAGCCACATGTGGCTCTTTGACTCCTTGAGTGTGGCTC